TAGGCCTGTGTATGGCCTTCAATTGAAGCTGCTTCTGCTCCGCCACTCTGCCATTGGACTCTTGATAGTCGTCTCCCCACGCTGCTGCTGGGGGGACTTTTTAACATAGGCCTCTGTATGGCCTTCAATTTTAGCTGCTTACGCTCCGCCACTCTGCCATGGGCCCCTGTACCGCCTCCTCATGCTGCTGCCAGGCCCGTAATCTGCCATGGGCCCCCGTACCGACTCCTCATGCTGCTGCCAGGCCCGTAATCTGCCATGGGCCCCTGTACCGCCTCCTCATGCTGCTGCCAGGTCCAGAGTGTGTCATGGGTCCCTGTACGGCCTCCCATTGCTGCTGTCTCCATTGCCACACTCTGCCATGTGCCACTTTCAGGTCTCCTCACACTGCTGGTGGGTTCCATTTTGTCATAGGGTGCTGTATGGCCTCCCATTGCTGCTGCCTCCACCGCCACACTGTGGCTCCACACTCTGGTTTTGGCCCCGTGACTGCCCAAATGAGTGAAGTGTGCGGTGATTCTAAGATCGACGGCACTCATCTGCATGTCATACTGACTGACAGTATTATTTCTCTTCCCCAGCAGACTCCAAGGGCATTTAAATTAAAGGTACAGTGTTCTGCACTAATATGAAGGCTCTCTGAAGCCTAGAAACACCCTTTTTATAAGTTAAATTCGCAGTGAATATATTCGGCTCGAAGCGAATTTATTCGGCGAATTTGGCGAATCAGCCGAACCGAATTTTTGAATAATTCGCTCATCTCTAGATGTGATAATAGTTTTGGGCCCATGGAGAAATTAATTACATTTTTTAATTTGTGTGAGAACTCAAAATCAGATAACATATAGATCCAAATTTAGTTCCATTCGTTTATTCAGATGCACATGACGCCAGTCGATATTGTCCAATCAGCTTATGCCTTTTCTCTTTCTGGGTTGGACTTGCGTTCTAAAATATTAAATTCTTCCAATTAAATCTGTCTGATTCAATGATCTATTGAATATATAGCAATAGTCCAGAAAAACTACTACATTGGGCTTTGATGCCAAGAGGCTGTGTATATGAGTACAAAAATGTAAACAAACCTGTTCCAAGAGTGTGTGCCTTGCGTACTCCCGGCACAGTTACTGGCAAAAAATCTTCAGATCGCTGCATGTATTCAGGAGTTTTCTGATCATGTGACCACTGTGACAGCCAATCATGGTGATGACATGATAAGAAACCCCGCCCACCTCCCAGCATCAGAAACTCATTTAAGGTTCGGGAGGCATCAGCGTTAAGGGGTTATAGAACACACACACAAAACGAGTTCTTTAATAAAAATGTCAAACAATTTAAACAATGTCCCTTGTTAAATATATACTGTAATACCATCATCCAGTGATGTACATTCAGTGTTAGCCGCAATGACCCACCTTCCAATGATGATGTACTGCCATTAAGTTGACTGGCTGCCCAACAATCTTGCTGTGCTGCACTACCACCACAAAATGGTAGATCTAACTGACCAGGATCCCCGGTTGGTTTGTTTCTAATCACCAATTGGATGGGGATCTGTCATTTTGTGTTAGTAGTGCTTTTTTAATGTTACTTTTAAAAGTTGTTTTTTATTTTCTGTAACTTCACATGTAGCTTTAAGGCATCCCCAAGAATGTTATTTAAAGAATTTTGTGTACTTTCAATGTTGCCCTTTAAGATGCATTAAAAGACTCATTATCTTCTGAATGGTATTATAAAAAAAAAGAAACATGTACACATTATCTTATTATTATACAGGATTTATTGCGCCAACAGTTTGCGCAGTGCTTTACAATATAAAGGGAGACAGTACAGTTACAATACAGGGCCCTGATCATAAGAACTTACAGTCTAATAGGGTGGGGCAAACGGTACAAAAGGTTATAACTGTGAGGGGTGAGCTGATGGAAGCTATACATGTTTAAATGGAGACATGATGGGCTTCCCTGAAGAGATGAGTTTTCAGGGATCACCTAAAGGCAGCTAGAGTAGGGGATAGCCGGACAGATTAAGGTAGAGAATTCCAGAGGATGGGAGAGGCTCTGGAAAAGTCTTGGAGACAAGCATAGGAGGAGGACACAAGGGAGCTAGAGAGTAGGAGATCATGAGAGGAGCAGAGAGGATGGCTTGGGTGATATTTAGAGACCAGATTGGTGATGTAGCTTGGGACAGAGTTGTGAATAGCTTTGTATGATGTTGTTAGCATTTTGAATTGAATTTGCTGAGCAATTGGAAGCCAGTGGAGTAATTGACAGAGAGGGGCAGTGGACACTGAGTGGTTGGTAAGGTAGATTAGTCTTGCAATAGCATTCATAATAGACCGAAAACGGGATAGCCTATGGAGAAGTAGACCTAAGAGAAGGGAGATGCAATAGTCCAGGCAAGAGATAACAAGGGAGTGAATGAGTATCTTGGTGATTTCATTAGTTAAATAGGGGGCACATTTTAGAGATGTTACGGAGGTAAAGTCTACAAGCTTTTGACAGCCGTTGGATTTGGGGCTGAAAGGACAAGTCAGAGTCTAGGATTCTACCTAGTAATCTGGCTTGAGAAGAGGGACTGATAGTTGTATTATTGATCTTGATGGAAAAGTCATGTCCAGCTACTCATGCACCTTTTTGGGGGTTTTACAATTCTATAGGTATGCAAAACCTGCTTGAACATAGCCTGCAGGCCATACAGGTCAAGTAAAGTGATTTTAAGGATGCAATGAGCTTTAAATAGCTAATTTTCCTATGCTGAAAATGCATAAAAAAATGACCCCTCTCATTAGCTAAATGGAACATTTACATATTGAGAAACAGAAAACCTATAGCTAACTCTTTTGCTAGCCCTTTTATCAACAAAAGCCACATCAGCACTACCAGTATGGAAGGTGTAACTGCCATTTTAACACAATCAAGGGTTATAAAACTATTTCCAAAAACCTGCTGCATCTGATCCAGTGAGTTGATTTACTAAGGGTTGTTTACTTTGAAAAGGAAGTTGCAATTTGTAAGTGTATTGTCTCACGTGCCTAGTGAATAAGGTATAGCTCTGCTGGCTTCCAGCATCCAATCATGCGCAAGCCAAAATGTTTTTTTTTATGGATTGTGACTGGGTATTTTTTAGGAAGTGAAATTTCACCACATTCACTACTTTCTGGGGTAAATTACATTGCAAAGTGAACAGCATATTTGCCTTTAGTGTGTTCAGCAACAGAGGACTTGTTAACCTGTTCCTCCCGACTGTATCCATATACGAGACCTCCCAGTGAGTGGGCTTTAATGCCAAGAATCCGTATATTTGGGTCCCTATGTATACATCGTCTGTGCTGAGAGCGCGTACCCTGCGCACTCCCAGCACAGTTACCAGTGGGTAACCTACTTGCGATTGTGAGCGTTCCAATTATGAGACCACTGTGACTGCCAATCACTGTGGAAACAGCATTTATAACCTCTTAAAGAGCCAGGAAGCGGAGGCAACAAAGGGTTAAGCGGTATGGCTGATATGTTGTAAATACAGCAGACTATTCCAATATTTTATAATGTGGGTGTTCCCAATACCATCACCTCTCTTGGATGTTGCTGAGAACAGAAGGACCTAACAAAGTCTTGGAAACATCCAGGACATTTTGGTGTGGATATGTGTATAATGGGGGAAGGCAGATGGGGGATGCCAATCACCAAAAAGTATACAAAGGATGCACAAAGGGCTTAAAAATCTCAGTTTTTCAGGGTTTTTTTTCAGTTTTTTGTATGATCTGAAAATCTCTCTTGAAGCAAATTGATTTTCTCATCGCATGAGTGGGATCCTGCACTACAAGTAAATGAGTCTCTAAAGCGATGGAAATGTAATATATTAATTAGCTGCCATTTAGCACTCTTCACCTGTCTAAATTATATAATCATTGAAAATCATTGCAATATGGAACGTTAATTAGTGTTTTCCTTCTTAAAATATGCAGAAAATTAGCTATATTAGCTACTTGAAATATCAGGAAAAAATAGCTTTTCCAGTTCTCAAGTGTACAACATTCTTAAACATCCACTTGTAGAGGAACCATAGAGGAACTGATGCCCTCCAAAATGGATGGGTTTGATTCCACTACATGACACCCTGCTGCGCCTCCTATCCAGGTCCTGCTGCCCTGGGCCCCTGTGATATCCCCTGCCACCCCTCGCCCCCCCAGGTGCTGGGGGGAATGTGTCAAGATGAAGAGTGGGGAAAGGGCACTTAAATGTGTAATCTACCGGCCCCTTCCTTGTCTGTGTTAGTGATTGGTACCAATCACTGACTCTGTTCATTCATAACTGAAGCATAGCAAATTGTGTTCATTATGCTTTAGTGTGTGAATGAATGGGAAACTCTGTACAGAGCTATTCCTGCCCATTCATTCAGTGCTGCTGAGGCTGCAGAGATGGAGACTGAGTGTTGTGTCCTCAATTGCCTTTCTCTGTCTCAAAGGTGGAACATCAGAGGTCGATTCATATTTGGGACAAAGATGTTGTTTTCGGAGATTCAAATGTATACGAATCTCCAAATGGGCATAGTAAAAAATGTCAAGGATTCCAAAAAAGTTATAACAAAATTACCAAATGCATTTTTTTTAATTTGTTTCATTCGGATGACATGATGTGATAGTAGTTCTTACCCATAGGGGAAATAATTAATTTTTAAAATTTGTTCAAAAGTTCAGATTCAGATAACAAATGGATCCAAATTTTATTCCATTCATTAATTCGGATGCACATGACATCAGTCGATATTGTCCAATCAGCTCATACCAATTCTCTTGGTGGGTTGGACTAACGTCCGAAAATATTAAATCCTCCCGATTCAAATCCGTTTGATTTGATATTTCAAAAATATAGCAATATTCCAGAAAAACTGCAACATTATTTAAATCTACCAGAAACGAATATACAATAGGAATGCCGAAATGGGTCAATATAACAACTATGAAGAAAATAAATTATCCAATGAATGAATACATCCGAAACCAGGAGCGGACTGACCATTTGGAAACTCGGGCACTGCCCGAGGGCCCGGGGTCAGTAGGGGGCCCCATGAGATACCCCTGGTACCTTTTACATAGGCTTTTTTGAGTTTGGGCAAGGACACAGGGGCCCCATGATCCCCTATTGCCTGGGGGCCCTATGAGTTGTCAGTCCGCCCCTGTCCAAAATTAAACAAAAATTTCCAGTGTGCACGTTTAATCAGAGGTCTGTTTAGACCCCTCATATCCCACCAAAGCCCCCCAATGGGGCTCCTAAAAAATAAAAAAAAAATGTTTTGAATAAAATAACAAAAAACAAAATGGTTAAAAATAATAACAATAAAAAAAAAACTGACACCAGTGCCAGAACTACCAAGGTCACAAAGGATGCACTTGCGAGCGGGTCCTGATGCTCCACCACCATGGGGGGGTCCAAGACAGCAAGAAGGGGGTCTGCTGCTGAACCATGGTAAAAGACCCCGAGATCAGTGGGAAGAACTCTACCCAAGGGGGGGTACCTACATGGCTTCCTGCACAAGGGCCCTGAAGGTTCTAGTTACGTTTCTGACTAAACTGCATGGTCAATTGATCCCTTTAACCGCTTTAGTGCTGCCCCATAGCATAAATAGTGCTACAGGGTGGCAGCAGAGTGCAAAATCAAGTATATATATGTGATTTTGCATCTCCCGGTAGGGGGCATGTATGCACTGCAATTCTCAGCCTCGGCTGTCAATCTTCGGGTCCCAGCCAGTGATTACTCGCCGGCGCCTGGTGATTGCGGAGCATCTCCGACAGGGGGGAGAACTGCACACTGCTTTGTATGGCAGTGTGCTTACAGAGAAGCACAAACACAGCACACAGTTAACCCTTTGATCGTATGTTAACCCTTTGCTGCCCAGTGCCATTAGTACAGTGTCAGCGCTTTTTATTAGCACCGATCACTGTATTAGCATCACTGGGGATGTCAGCGACACCAAGTCAGTTCCCCCCAGTGTCAGAATGTCAGCCACAGTCCTACTATAAGTCGCTGATTGCTGCCATTACTAGTAAAAAATAATCCCAGTATATATACCACCATTTGTATAAGCTATAATTTTCACATAAACCAATTAATTTACAGGTATTGGCATTTGTTTTCAGCAAAGACATGTAGCAGAATACATATTGGCCTACATTTATGACAAAATTTGATTGTTTTTATTTTTTTACTGGACATGTTTAATAGCAAAAAGTCAAAAATATTGTTGTTTTTTTTAAATTGTCAGTCTTTTTTTTTATAGCGCAAACAAAAAAAATTAAAAAATGCAGAGGTGATCAAATACCACCAAAAGAAAGCTTTATTCGTGGGAAAAAAAGGATGTAAATTTCATTTGGGTGCAGCATTGCATGACCGCGCAATTGTCCGTTGCTGTAACACAAAAATGGCCTGGTCAGGAAAGGGGGGTAAATCATCTGAAGGGCAAGTGGTTAATGTTGTTGTGTGATTTATTTTCTCTTGTTATTGCTGTGATCTAGACTTCCTTGTCAACTATGTGCCTTTCTCTAGTAGCCTTGTTTGAATGTATATAATTTTTTTCTTAGGTGGTGGAGCTTTTCAGAAAAAGCCATGTCACACAGGAAATGTTGCACTTGTAATTATACTATAGCATCCATAAATAGCATACCCCTGGGATCAGTTGGGCTCCCAGCGTGTTTCATTAATGGACTATTATATTTCATCAGTGAGTGGACTCCAGTGGTTCTAGTGAGCTCCTGTTATAGAGTTAATGGAACTTCCACAGAGCAGGGTGTATACTTACTTACACAGGTAGACAAGTGTTAGCTATAGGTAGCAGCAGGAAAAGTAGAAATCGATTATACGTAAAGTCTGTCATATATAATATAAGGTTTGATGCTCAGTTGAAGCCTGTGCCCAAAGTATATCAATGGAATCTGCATGCCGCAAAATAGCAACATGGTACGGATTGCTGATTTCAGAGCTGTAGCCCCAACACAGCAGGGACGTGAAATACACTTTACTATTTTGCTGAGCACATATTCCATTTGTTCAAGCTCTTCATGTTACAGAGTGATATACAGTAGTTCAGGGGCGGACTGACAACTCATGGGGCCCCCGGGCAATAGGGGATCATGGGGCCCCTGTGCCCTTGCCCAAACTCAAAAAAAGCCCATGAAAAAGGTACCAGGGGCATCTCATGGGGCCCCCTACTGAACCCGGGCCCTCGGGCAGTGCCCGAGTTTCCAAATGGTCCGTCCGCCCCTGCAGTAGTTCTGTCCCTGTCTTCTTAATATACTCCAGTGGAGACTACAAGTGGCCGTTTCAATGCACATTATGAAGGTGTGGTTCATTGTTGTCACCATCTGAAGTCAGGGATGTATTTACCACAAGGCAAACAAGGCACTTGCCTAGGGCAGCATTTTTCAGGGGGGCAGCACCTCCCCCCAGAAGAAGGGATGAAAGAAGGGACATGCACACAATGGGAACCAGGTGGGATCTCAGAGAGGCTGTGGGCAGCTTCATGGTGTGTATATATATATATATATATATATATATATATCCTGACTCTCGTTCCCTGGGGATGTCCGGAGCTGTGAACATGAGCATCTCTCTATTGCCGGGGGGGGGGGGGGGGGGGGGGGGTAGTGGAAGGCTCTCCCATGTGGGTGGCAGGGGTGTTGTTGGTCAATGTCAGGCTCTCTCCAGAGGAGGGGGAAGGGGGTGGTGTGTTGTCTGTGGGGGCAGATGATTTTTGTGTTGCCTAGGGCAGCACAAAACCTAAATATACCACTGTCTGAAGTGCCAGCTATTGCTAGAGTGCATGTATGTACACAGCAAGTGGCTAAGACTGGCCATACTTTATATAATTTTCTTGAGAATGTTGCTTTAGATTTACCAAAAAACATAATATAAACCTAAACAACACACTTTCAATTGTATCCAATTAGGCAGGCCCTTGCACTACATAATTGAAGGTAAATCTAAAGGAAATTAGGCAAAAATTGGACAGAAAATTGTATAATGTGATGGCCAGCCTAAGGCTCCATTCACACCAATGTGTTTTTAGTACTTTCCAGCAGAAACGCAGTACAGTCCATTTAAGAAGGTTTCCTATGGAACATGTTCACATCCATGCTTTTTTGAGCTGCTACGTTTTTGGAAAGGGTCAGGGATAGACACGTGCATTTCATTTCGCTCCAAATCGAAATTCGGACAAATTTTCCATTATTTGGAGATTCGGATGTGTCCGAATTCTGAATTACAATAGCAACAAATTTAAATGAATGTGAAATAACAAAACGAAATTCAGTTGAAAATTATAATCAATTCAAATTTTAAAACACATTTGAAAACAAATTTGAAACCCAATTTGAATTTGAAAACAATAGAATACAATAGAACAGAAAATAAAGAAAAAGAAAATAAAACAGTAGAACAGAATACAGTAGAAAATAATAGAGTAAAACAGAACAAAATAGAATAGTAATTAAAGGAATAGAAAATAATAGAATCCATTAGAATGGAACAGAAAAGATTATAATAGAAAATCAAAGAATAGAATCCATTAGAATAGAATAGAAAAGAATAGGAAATCAAAGAATAGAATAGAATCCATTAGAATAAAACAGAAAATCAAAGAATAGAATAGAAAATAATAGAGTAAAACAGAGCAAAATAGGACAGAAAATAAAGGAACAAAAATAGAATGAATTAGAATAGAATAGGTTAGAATAGAAAATACAATAGATTCAAAAGGAAAAAAATACTTTACAAAAAATATATAGCTGCGCTATGGTGACATGAGTAGTGATCAACAAAGGCACTGTGAAAATGTTGCTGAAATTTCCAATATGGTCACGCAACTCTTCATATAGCCCATATACCATTAAAAACACATATGGATTGTGGATTATGGATTGTAACGTTATAATTATTTTCAAATCCTTTCTAAATTTCGAGAACTGGTTAAATTTAAATAAACAAAACAAGTTCCAAAAAACACATTTAACTAATTGAACGAAACAAAATTAGTCAAATAATGAATCGAAAGGAAATGAAACAAACATTTTTTTCATTTTGCGCATGTCTAGTCTAGAACTTTTTTTAAAGCAAAAGGCAGCTTTTTTGCTACAATAGAGTTCAGTGGAGAAGCTGCTGAAATGCAGCGTTTTTGCTGAGTTTTGCATTTTTATCCTGCCCAGCAACAAAAAAAAAAAAAAAAGAGCTGAGCAAAAACGCACCAAAAAAAAACACATCAAAAACGCGTGCAGAAAAATGCAAAACAAACTGCAAAAAGCACTGGAGAAAGCATCAAATGCAAAATTCCATATATGTGAACCAAGCCTAAAAACAGGCTGTAGGATCTACTGCAACCTATCGTACATTTTTTTTTAATTTATAAAAAAAGAAAGTTAAAAAAAAAGAAGGCTATAGGAGGTTGCAAAAATAAGTTTGGAAAAAAGACAAATTGTTGTTTCTTTTTTTTTTTTTTCCAAAAAAGTATTATTGAAATGTGAAAGGTATATCAAGTCATATACAGATACGGATCACAGTCCGCGCATATACATCTTGCATGTTCTCCCGTAACGCAGACGGGTCATAAGACGTTTGTTTAAAGTGCGAGTCATCTTGAGGCAAAATATCATAATATAACAGATGCATAAATATAATTTAATAATATAACATAATATAATAATATATAATTTCAATGATGAAGTCATTGCAACTAAACCAATCACATCGATAGATTTGTTGTTTCTGATACACAGTGCATTAACAGGTAAAGAAAAAAAAAAAAACAATACAGTGCCACTACCCCATCTAAATTTAAGAAATGCAAAGTGAGGAGACTCATACAAATGAGCGCAGAGAGGCCAATCCAGGTGGAAACATGAACAGTTGATCATGAGCTCATCACTGCTGCCTTGTTAATTATTTGCATGATGAAGAGAACTGAAAAAAATAGGCGCTGTGGAAAATGCTCTCAAACACCTTAATGAAGGTGCATCTTTATTGGGTGAGAAAAAGTAGCAAATATAATAAAATTTGACCAGCCTGAAGTGAACAGTGTGACTCCAACGGACTGCCCGTCCGCTCTGAAGGGAGCTGAGATCGGAGAACGCTCCTGTCGGCTTCAAATCATGTGGTGTCAGCGTACCGGCGTCCCAGGTGGTGTCACTATAGCAAGCGAAGGCAGTGTCCGGCATTGTCTTCAGCTGGGAGCGTGTGTAGGGTCACCATGATGTCATGTTTCATGCAGTTGCGCTTTGTCAAGTCTCTGGTAACCCTGGCCGGCTGCCATTATATAGAAGACCATTAAAGGGAAGGCTGGCTGAGACTAATTAGTAAGGGATGGGGTGTCAATCAGAGCGGACGGCTCATCCTGAAGCAATGCTGAATACAAATTTAAAAGTACAAATTGCAAATTATAGAAAGTGGTGCCAATTAATGAAGTGATATGTGTAAGAACACTATTGGAAAGCATGATATACTTTTATCTTTAGCAGAATAAATGTAATAAAACAATAAAATAATAAAATGAAAAACTTTTCTTGTGGAGAACTCTGAGTTAAAAATGACATCACTGGTTCATGGAAGCTATGTCAAATAATGCGTTTAAGTGAGGTAATTATGGGTATATGGACAAAGAAGGGGGTGGGGAGAGGTGAAAGCTTGGCATATGAAAATAAAAATGACTGTATAAAAAGGTACTGCTAAAAGGATTATAGTAAAATCAATACGGGTATCAAATTAGGTAGCTCATATGTTTGTAATCAAATAAATTCAATAGATGCGTAGTAACATGTATTCATAATTGAGTAAGCACAATATATACATGGTAACTAGAGATGAGCGAATCAAACCAGGCGAACCGGAATTCGATACGAATTTCAGGAAAAATTCGATTCGCGGCGAATCCGAATATTTGCCTACTTCGGGTGCGCGAATCGGATTTTTCCCGATCAGCCGGCAAAAGTGTCCCTGCAGAGAGCTCCGCTATTTCTGACAGTTCTCTGACAGAAGGAACACATGTACAGCGGTTGAAACATTGTATCTATTAGTTTCCATTTAGGATACAGATGTTTCAACCGCTGTACATGTGAAGAAGCTGTCAGAGAACTGTCAGAAATAGAGGAACTCTGCACATACACTTTTTGCCGGTTTGGAATTCTTATTTTCATCCTACTTCTTCTTCTTCTTCATCATCCTCATCCTCAACTTCTTCTTCTTCCTCATCCTCAGAAGAAGAAGAAGAGGATGAGGATGAAGAAGAAGAAGAAGAAGAAGTAGGATGAAAATAAGAATAATTCCAAGCCGGCAAAAAGTGTATCTGCAGAGCTCCTCTAAGTGTATCTGCAGAATGTCATTTATGGAAACAAATAGATACAATGTTTCAACCGCTGTATGGAGTGAATGTCCCAGAACTGTCAGAAATAGACTATTTCTGACAGTTCTGGGACATTCCCTCCATACAGCGGTTGAAACCGCTGTATGGAGTGAATGTCCCACAACTGTCAGAAATAGACTATTTATGACAGTTCTGGGACATTCCCTCCATACAGCGGTTGAAACCGCTGTATGGAGTGAATGTCACAGAACTGTCAGAAATAGACAGAAACTGTCACAGAACTGTCCTTCTCATCCTTCTCCTTCTTCTCATCCTTCTTCTCATCCTTCTCCTTCTTCTCATCCTTCTCCTTCTTCTCTCATCCTTCTTCTCATCCTTCTCTCCTTCTTCTCATCCTTTCTCCTTCTGCTCCTTCTTCTCCTTCTTCTTCTCCTTCTCTTCTCCTTCTCCTTCTTCCTCCTTCTCCTTCTCCTCCTTCTCCTTCTCCTCCTTCTCCTTCTCTCCTTCTCCTTCTCCTCCTCTCTTCTCCTCCTTCTTCTCCTCCTTCTCCTCCTTCTCATCCTTCTTCTCATCCTTCTTCTCATCCTTCTTCTCCTCCTTCTTCTCATCCTTCTTCTCATCCTTCTTCTCATCCTTCTTCTCATCCTTCTTCCTTCTTCATCCTTCTTCTCATCCTTCTTCTCATCCTTCTCTCATCCTTCTCCTTCTTCTCATCCTTCTCCTTCATTTCTCATCCTTCTCCTTCTTCTCATCCTTCTCTTCTCCTCATCCTTCTCCTTCTTCTCATTCTTCTCCCTTCTCCTTCTCCTTCTTCTCATCCTTCTCCTTCTCCTTTCTCCTTCTTCTCATCCTTCTCCTTCTTCTCATCCTTCTCCTTCTCCTTTCCTCATCTCCAAGGGCATTTAAATTAAAGGTACAGTGTTC